GAGTTTTAGGCCACCGGGTCCGGGACGCGAACCGCGGTTGACTATGTGGGAGTCCAGTGACATAGCCATTACGCTAACTGCAGGTTCCCAAGCCAGAACCATTTCTAACGGCAACAGACCTGACGCTGTGAACTGACTTCTTGACCCTAAACACCACACTGTGAAATGAGGACAGAGGCTACCAGGACCCCCATCGACAGCACCTGCCCTGCTGGGCCCCAGCCTGTTGGTCAGCACAACGGCTAAGGCCCAGGCGGCCTGACTCCACACGCCAGCCAGATTGGGTGGCACTGCATGTGGCAAGGACAGAGAAGACACGGTTAGGGAACTGGGTGGATGTATCTCTAGGAGAGCTGCCCTGGGTGGGGAAATGCAGCCTCTCTGAAGCCCAGTTCTGCCTGCGGGGGTCCTGCAGCCGCACAGCAGCAGGTGCCCAGGTCAGGCCAACTTGCTGGCAAGCAGCTGCAGTCCTGTGGATTCTGCTCTGGGGCTCTGTGGGCTTCCCTTCCCTCCAGCTCCAGGAAGTCCACCGCTCCAGGACGCCTTCCAGCCTCTGCAGTTCTAGCAGACTGTTCACGGCACCCTCTCCTGAAGCAGGGTCAGGTCTGCGTACACCGTCCCTTGACTAAGGGCAGACACGTACTCAGACATGAGAGGGAGAGCGATGCTCCCAGAAAGCAGTCCTTTGGTCGCTAGCTATCGGCTTCCCCGTGGACTGAATGTTGAAAGGGTCCCAGTAGCTTTTGGGGGGAATGGGTGGGTGTAGCAGATCAGAAGCTACAGGGAGGAAGTGACTAAGTTAAAGTGGGCCTCAAAGGAACAGAACAGTAGGATTTGAGGCAAAGATGGCCCTGTGGAGGTGGAGGCAGATTACAACACCAGACGGAGCCTGAGGGTTGATTCAAGAAACAGAGGCAAGGCAGCTGGGGGCTGAACGTCTGGCTGGTGGCCAGTGGGCTGGAACAGGGGCAAGGCATCGGGGAGGGGGTGGCGGCCTGGGGACAGGCTGGCAGCAGAGAGCCTGGGGGTGGCTCTGGGTTGTGGGGGACAGATTGGGGGTGCCTGGGGAAAATGGTGAGAGACGGAACCCTGTCTGTGGCCGGAATACAACAGCGCGAAATGCACCTTCTCTGGGAGAAAGGACTACAGGGTGTTCTTAGTCTTTCTTCTTTTTAAAAATATTTCATTTTTCTACAGCATGTGTGCTTTTCACTTATATAATCAGAATACAAGGAGATCTTTTTTTTTTTTTTTAAATTTTAAAAAGCCATGCCAATGACAATCAACTGAGCCTAACTGGTTTTGGGGTGGGGTGTGGGGTGTAGGGCAGGGGAAGGAACGTGACCCTGAAAGGAAGCCCAGAGCCCTGTCCGAGAGCACTTGGCATGGAGCACGGCTGGTGAGAGCCGGCAGGGTGCTAAGGGAGACATTCAAGGGCAGACATGCAGCCTTGGGTCTGGCGGGCTGCAGGGGTGTCTGGGAGGGGCTGGGAGGGGGCGGGTCAGAGAGGGAGAGATCGGGGGACAGGTGACCAGCACCTCTCAGAACTTTTGCTTTAGAATCTGGTAGTCAAGATGCTGGACACTCCCATATGGCAGACCATGGTTCAAGTCCCGGACCTGGTGGCTTTCTTTCTCACTTTCCCTCTCTCTCTGTCTCTCTCTAGTCAAATTAAAAAAAAAAAAAAAAAAAGGATAAAAAAAAAAAATAAAAAAACCCTTAAAAAAAAGAATCTACCAGTGCCGGCGAGAGGCAGTGGCTGAGGCCTGCCCTGCCTAAGGGCTTGGTGGAGTTCTCGGGGTTACAGGGCCTAGGGCTCACTGCTCTTTCTGGGAGGAGGCGTGGTTAAGGTGGGCCTTGGGATCTGCGAATGCCCTGGAGAAATACCTGGAGAGAATCTGTCAGTGTATTTACCCCAAGCTCCAGGGGATTTACTGAGAGAGAAAACGCCAACAGGCGCTCTGGTTTCACGACTTGGTTCTGCCGGTTCCCATCACTGAATCTACAGGGAAGATCCCAGGAAAACTGTGCTGAATGTGTTACTTCTGGGGAGCAGAAGGCAGCAGATAGGAAATGGGAGTCCTAGAGAAAGGCCCTGTTAACTGCATTTTATGGGCCATTCCTTTTCAAAGGGTTCACAACAAACCTGCCACTGCCTGGTGGCTGGGTGCATTTTCCCTCCTCACAGGTGCTCCCTGGAGCTGGGCCCAAGCAAGGGGAGGCCTTTTAAGGAAGACTTTGACCCAACTGAAAGGGATAGGGGTTCCACTTGTGGCTGGGGATCACGACAAAGACAGCAGCTGCACGGATCCCCTCCCTTGGAGCACTTCTGAGCCTTGGCTGAAGCGGGGGTCCCTGGCAGTGCTTTTTATTTATCTATTTATTTATTTATGAGAATTCTTTTACTTAACTTTTTTTTTTTTTAATTTGACCAGAGAGAGGGTGAGAGAGAGAGAGAGAGAAAGCAAGCTGTCAGGTCTGAGACCCGAACCACGGTGGGCCACATGGGAGTCCAGAGTCCTTCACCACCACATCACCTGCCAGCTCTCCTGGCAGTGCCTTTGAAAAGAGGCCTCATTATTGGCATGGGACACGCCTGGACCCCCGCCTCCTCCTGCTTTCTGAGATGTTTGGGTCTCGGAAGCGTGCAGAGGCCAGAAGAGGGTCTGGTGCTGTCCAGACAATAGCTGTGGGCATGGCTTCTTCCAAACCCCAACTTGACCCCAGACTCCTCTCCTCCGTTTTGTGAAGGTCAGAGGAGCAGAGACTGGGGTCTCTGCGGCTAGCAGCAAGCAGCATGGTCACCTTCTTCTAAAAGGCCGAGGCTAAAGAGGAGGTGAGGCCCAGCAGTGAGGTACTGGGGGCCATGCGGTCCCAGAGGACTGGAATAAGCAGCCAGGTGCCAGAGCACTTCCTGCTCCCGTGCTGTGTGACCGGTCCTGAACTCAGCAAGCTCACTCCTGTCCCAGCCGGCACCACAGAGACATGGGGCTCCTGTCCTGTCCAAGACGCAGGAAGGGGAGGCTGGGCCGAGGCCCTGCAGAAGGTGCACGTAGCTGCGGGCCCTGCTTGCTCAGCTGCTCTGCCACTTCCTCCAGCACTGGGGGTGCAAAGTGGCCCTTCCCACAGCCCCAGGTGGCCCTGCCAGGTCTGCGTATGCCCGGCCTTTAGCCCTCTGTGGGTGGAGGGGGTCAGGCTCGCCCAGGCTCAGGGCCTCATCTGAAGGTGGGGCGTTGACCAGTCCAGGTGGTCCTTCTCCCTACACCCCACTCCAGACATGAGTTGAGGCTGGGAACATTTCCTAGCAGGAAACAGGACCCAGGAAATCTCCGTCAGCAATGTGGGAGAGGCAGAGTCTGAGGGCAAGGAAAGGGACGTGCCCAAGCCCAATACCGACAAGACAAGGCGGCACGTCCTTGGCCACTGCTGCCAACAAGGCTGCTGCTTCCACGTCCTGGGCCTCTCCCCAGAGCCTGGCGGGCTGGCTCTTCTCAGAAGCTCTGCATGGGATGCCTCATTCCTGGCTGAGAG